CACGGAGGACCCATAGGCCTGTCCTGCTGGACAGCAGTGCTTGCCTCGGCCAGAGACAGAGTCCTGCAGGCTGGGGCCTCGAGCACAGTAGTGGCCTGACATTTCAGGAAGACGACGCTGGCAGAGTCTGAGCCATTTGCTGCTGGCCCAGGGCTCCCAGTCAGTCTGTTACTGTTCTGGACGCGGCTCTGACTCATGCAGAGCAAAGCTCCTGGAAGACACCTTCGGGTGTTGTGTCACTGCTAGCTGGAGTGCAGGCCAGAGGCTCTGCTCACATTCCTATCTACAAGGTGAAGCAATTCCTGCCCACCTGTCTTACACAGATGCGAGGACTGATAAAATTAGGGTTGAGGAATCTAATACACACATGTATTATCTAAACTCTAATTTTCTACACCAGTAAAAGGGTAATATGGTTATTTTGTTATTATTTTAATGGAAGGCATTTTGACAGATACCTTTCCTGAGACACAGCTAATATAACTTAACCCAGCCAAAGGCTAGAAATTAAAAAGGTTTAACTTAGTATCTTGTAAGGAACTTAAGTGGAGGAAAGCTTTAATTAAAATGGCTATGATCTAACTTTTCATTTCTTTAGGCATGTTAATTATTAAAACATTAATGCTTGATTAGGCCAGGGTGGCCATTTGTGAGTAAGACATTATTCGGCATCTTGAATTGCACTCAAGATTAATTAACTTAGAAACTTTCCGTAACTCCGACTGGAAGACGCGTAAGGCTTGGCGATAGTTTCCTGAATGCCCAGTGCAGCAGCAGGAGTTTCCGTGTCCTCTCTGCCATTGGAAGGACAGTCAGGCCCTGTACAGTGGGGACAGAGACAACCAGCGCCCCCTTCATCGAGTTTGTGTCCATTTGTGTTGAGAGAATAACTTGGCAGGCACATCAGTTAGAGTGCAAGCTGCATCACGTTGGAAAAGATTTTTATAATAATTAACACAGCAAATCGCCCTGGAGTTGAACTCTGATTTGGCTCTGGTCTCGCTTTTCATCGAGGGCAGGTTGCTGGGCACCGAGAGCTTCGGCTCTTTGACCCCCCCGTAAGGTGGGCAGGATGGTGCCCACGGGCCAGCAGAGGGCGCGCAGCGGGGGGGGGGGGCAGCTCCTCCCACTGCGCTCGGGAGGGCGGGGGAGGGTCTCCACTCGGCGTGGTCAGCCCGATACTCTGAGGCGCACTCCGAGGTGTGGTTTACCTGTGGCTTCCTTCTGACCCATGCACCTGGGGGACAGAGCCGGCAGGTGACCTGTCCTCACACTCGGGCCCAGGCTCACGCAGGGTCCTGTGGAGGAGCCTCATGCTGAGCTCTGGCCAGCCTCTCCTCCACTGTCTTTGAGAAGCACCGGGACCCATGTGCTGGGAAGTCAGAATAGAGCAAGGTAAATGCTGACTTCACTGGCACTCTGGCTCCTGGTCATCATCTCAGTTACGCAGGTTGAGGTAAGATCTCTTACTTCTACGTGCTTTTCCCTTGAGGTAAGAACCAAAGCCGTATTTTAGGATTAGAGTAGCATCCAACAACAACAACAAAATCCCTAAAGACAGCAAACTGGAAGGTTCCTAGAGTCACATCCACTGGATTACTGAGAAAACAGTCGAACAAATGTTGCTGATTCTATTCCTGCTTTGTGCTTTTAGCTGTTTGGGGATAAAGAAGTGAATCTTATGAGGCCAAAACCTGTTTTCATTTGTCAGGATGTGCATCAGCAGGGCCTCTCCGTGCTGTGTAGCAGAATCCTATCCATCAAATATTCCTCTTCCACTGGAGGGGCGGACAGTCCTGAGGCCCCATCCTGCTCAAGCTGGGTAGTGACCCTCCCGGACACTGCCCTGATCCCCCAGGCAGGGAGCAGAGCTGGTCTAGGTAATCCACTCCTCAAAGTGCAGGAGCTGATCCAACCAGACCGGTGGAGGAAAGGAGAGAGCCCTCTGTGTAGAAGCAGCTGTGAGTTACAGCCAGAGGCCCGAGGTGCATAGGGAGAATAGCTAGGGACATCAACAAACTCTCTCCGCCACTAAAACAGCTTCCGGTGTGATCTGGACCCTCTCCCCTCACATGGAAGGAACACTTTCTTTGCTGCTCAGGAAAATTCTTGGCAGACCCTTTCACCGCAGGTGGGAAAACAGTAACAATAAACAGAGGAGGGAAAATATGCTGGGTCGCATTGGGTATTTCGGGTTTGTGCAAAGGAAAACACTTCTCCAAAAGGTTCAGAACGTGGCTGGCTAAAGGAAGGGGTTCCCCAGCCCTCGCCGGACACTTTGGTGGATGGACCTGCAATCTGGGAGCCACCACTGTCCCTGGGAGGGACTGGGCTGGAAGAGCCAGGCTGGGGCAGGAAGAGAGGGCACCGTGTGTTCTTGTCAGCAGGAGCACAGGCGTCAATTTCAAATCACAACCTAAATCCCAGACTTCTTTTGGAGTACCCTTGTTATTAGAAAGGGGAGTTGTTATAGTCCTGGAAAATTATCCTCAGTAATAAATGATATGGTCTGTGTATGCAAGAAACACTGTTTTCTCTAGAAACTGATTTAACCAGGGAGTTTCTTCAGTGGGGGAGGGGGTATGTGGGGTACTGGGCAAGGAAAACCCCTGAACCTTGGCCAGTGGGCAGGGACAGCTGGCCCGGACTCAATTTTGTTCATGGAACAGAGAAAACAACTTTTAATCAGTTTCCCTTAAAAATACAACATTTTCAAGTGATAATCCCATTACAGAAATGGATACCAGGTTCTGTTGGTAAGACTAAAAAGTCATCATGTTGGAAAGACAAAAAAATCCAGAAATTAAATTGGAAGGGATATATTTTAAAGGAAGAAAAAAATGAACATGAAACTAGCAAAGGGGACAGAGAGAACCTGAGGAGTTGACACTTAGGGAGAGGTGGGTCCAGGCTTCCTGCCTGGGTCTCCAGTCCTGACCTCAGGGGAGCACGCAGCAGCTGTGGACGCAGGCCAGGGACTGCAGCTCCCGCTGGCTCCCATTTAAGCTCCTGCGTGGTCACAGGCTCGGCAAGAGAGGGACAGAGGCCACCCCGGGTGCGGTCTCAGAAGGAAATGCTTCGAACACACCGGGTCCGCTGTCACGGGTATTTAGAAGTCTAAAGAAAGAAGGCTGCAGAAAGTGTGGAGCTCAACATTCCTTTGGAAAACATATTTATATTTTAATATTTGGCAAAATAGTCAACATTCTGTGGTGAGACCTTCCTTTGTTTATTTTCTTCTCTTTCTATAAAAATGTGTATTATTTCTATAATCCTAAAAACAAATAATGACTCAAAAAAACAAGATACAATTTTCCTGTTGTATTCATTCAAAATTTCTGGAAAGTTTCTGCAATAGAGGTTGAAATGTACCACTGCACATGGGGTTCCCTTTGGGGACCCCAGTCAAGGATGACTGAAGTGAGCTGCACACGCACACGCCCGGGGCCACGAAGCCAGGGAGGAGTGAGTGGGCTCCTCCACAGGATTTCCAACAACAGAATTCCAGCATGCTCCCGGTCAGGTCTCATAGTGTATAAACTGAATCTGTTTATAGTCTCACATTGTACCCCATGACACTTTGCGGCTAAATAAATGGAAAACTGAGAAATACAAATCAGGGCACATGAGGGACCTTCTCATATTCTAAACCAACAGCCAGGTTTATTTTCCTCCTACAGAAGTTTAATTACAATGGCTGCCACTGAGGTTCACTGTCAGCGTGAAGCTGGGAGCCAGTTCGGGGGTACACAGAGGAGAGGCCATGTGGCTGCGGGGAAGGGGAAGGCCTAACAGGGAAGGGACCCAGGGTTCACGCCCCAGTGTGACACCATCAGGCTGCATGACAGGGGCAGGGCCCAGGCTTTGTGGCCCGAGTCCCTTTTGCTTCTCTGGACAGGAGGTGAGAACCATCAGTTCCTCCAGTGCCGCCCCAGTTTGGCGCAGGGCAGAAACCGTCCCAGCCTACACTGTGGGACTTCACTAATGTCAGCCAACAGGGTCTTCAACACTGCAAAATACGCAGAAGCTGAACTGGACTCAAACCATGCAAATACTCGGAAGAAAGAAACAAAAATGTTAAATCCCATTAAATGCAAGAATCTGGTACGTAAACGTCAGTGCTCCGACTGAGTTTTCTGACTTCGAATACGAGGCTCTGGTGCCCACAGGACTTCTGATGCCCACTTCACTGCCTGAGATGACACAGGGTTCGTAACACAGGTGTGGTGATGTCTACAGAGCTAACTGAACAGTGTATTATGGCAGAGTCAATGGCTTGAAGTGAAAAACAAAACAGAGCCTCTTGATTAGACTTCAAGGCAAACAACTTTCTGGAAAAAATATAAATTTGTGATCTCTTTAGTGCAAGATCTCTCTCTGAATTCAGCCACTTTCTTATTTTGTAAAAGCTTAAGAAGAGTAAGCTGAGGAATAATTCAGAGGCTCTATTTGCTCTGATTATAAATTTTGATTCTGCTAAATATGTCAACATTTTGTGTCACCAAATTTAGCCAAAGAATCCTATGGGACTTCACCGGATATGTTAGGATTCAAACAACTGATCATTAGAAAAATTAATGCTTTAATGCAAGCAAATATCTCAAGAATGTAAGCAACAGTATTTATTGATTGTTGATGTACTTACTCTATTTGCCTCAAGACTTCCTTTCTGTTCATTTAAAAAATTAATTTGCCTCCACATTTCTTTTTTTCCCCAGGTACTGGGAATTAAACCCTGAGCTTCCACACTGAGCCGCCTCCCCACATCTTTCCGTACTGTATTTTCAGACGGGATCTCACTAGTCACTGCAGTGCCCAGTCTGGGCTCTGACTCGTGACTCTCCTGCCCCAGCCACCCAGAGTGCTGGAATTACAGGTGTGTGCCACTGTGCCCAGCCATGCTCCTCATCTGTAAACTACCTCAACCCTAATTTCCTAAAGAGTCGGCGGAGATGTAAATAAATATGCACATGAAAGGTATTGAATAGAAAAGTCCTCACCTGTTTTTTTCGTGAATTTTTAGAATTTCATTTGTCTGTTGAAGAAGTTGCTTCTCTAGTTTATATGTTGACAATGAATTCTCCAGCAGTTGTATTTCAAGTCGAGAAGTCTGATTCAGTACCTTAACAGAAAAGAGAAAACATGTCCAACTTCAGTCGCAAATCAAAAAGCAGAAAACAACTGATTTTTATTTAGCTTTTGTTCTTAAATAATATTTTTTCAAGAGTAATTAGTTATATTGTGTATTTTCTGCCAGCCATGGCGTCGTCTGTTCCTTGAACACGCTATTGGTTTGACATGGAAGTTGCGGTTGGGAACCCTGGATTGCTGAATCTATTTTCAGGCTCTAAGCTTCGTGTCCTGAAACCTGAGGTGGTTTGCTATGCCAGCTGCTTCCTGTATTTTTGTTTCCAATGTTTCCAAGCATTGAGAGGGTTTTCCTTCAAGGTCTGAGACGCTATGGGCAGTTAGAGCAGCGGCAGGCATATGAGACGCGCCCCGACTAGACCGGTCACCTTGGAAACACCAATCAGAAATGCAGAGATGGCTCCTGACACAGTTCAGGCTGATTCCCGACCGCACATTCACTGATCGTCCATCATGTGGACCGTGGCACCCTTTCTGGATGTCCTGGCACTCTCTAGGCACGCTACCTATGAGGGGGAATCGTCACCCTCACTGTGGAAATGAGGAAACTGAGGCTCAGAGAGAGGTCCGCACTCACAGAAGAAGCGGGGAGACAGCTCAGGTTGCCCCTGCAGTGCCACACGGGGCCGGGGAAGGGCGAGGCCGAACAGCGGGACTTCACCTTAGGAGATGAAGCTTGCAGGAGCTGAGGTCACAGCGAGGACGGCGGTCTTCTTCCTTCCCACGCTGCAACCCTGAACGCTCTGAAGCCCTCACAGCCCCCTCGCTGGCCAGCCTCAGTAGCACAGGAGCCTGCGCCCCAGCGGGGCCCCGGCACCTCCTCTGGGCTCACCCTGCGCCCCAGAGAGGGCTTCACAAGGTTCGCTGGCCTGTTCCTGTCTGGGTCCTCGCCTTCTCACAGGAGGCGCCCAGGGCCAGGAAGAGGGAGGAGTTCTAAAGCTCCCCACGGGCTGGAGACTTTAACCGCCCGCCTCTCTCTGGTCTGGGAGGCACCTGGGAGCCTTTGTGACCCGTGTCCCTAACTGCTCCTCTGGCGCTTCCCCTCCCGGGGCAGCTCCAGAGCCGGGGAGGCTGGAGGCGCACAGCAGGCCCCTCTAGCCCACGTCCAGGCACTGGAGGCGTGGCTGGGGACAGCAGGGGATGCTCGGGCGGCAGGGTTAAAGGACAGGATAAATCCTTGCACAAATGCACAATGTGACACAAATTACCAGGTGATCGTCTGAGTTTCTTAAAAATGTCAGTCTCCAAGGAGAACCACGAAAGTTTACAAATTAAAAGAAACTATTAAAAATTGAAGGACAAAACACCTGTAAAATTTCTGGTGGAACCATAAAGAAAATATGACTGTAAGTCAGACAGTCCTTGAAATTTACTGTTAACTCTGTCATGATGTAAAAATACATAATTAATACCAGACACTTACTATGTCTGGCACTTTACACCTATGTATAAGGTAGGTGGTGTTTATAATATAACCTCATCAGATGTGAATAAATGCTAACAGAACAACACAACTGCTTGACCCAGCAGCTCTGGTCGTGGCGTTTGGAGGAGATGGCGCCCGTCTTACAGACAGACACTGGGTGCAGTGACCCGTTCAACACCACTCATGCAGAGGAGGAGACAGGCAGCCATGGCCAGAGGACAAGGTCTCTCTCTCTCTCCAAGCCAGCAGCGTCCTCCCTTGCTCAGCCGCAATCCCACCAACACGGGCACGTCCTCTTGGTGCAGCTGCTGGCGTCTGGGGTCTCCTCCCAAGTGCTCCCTGATGAGCCTGAGTCAGGAGGGGGCCCACTCTGCTCATTTTGGAGGACAGAGGGAACATACCGCATGGTGTCTGTCAGTCAAAATGAGAACGGCTTCTCCTCGAAGATCCATTCTGACCCATCAGCTCTGTCAGTTCCTCTTCACTATCAATTTGGCTGGATTAGGAGGCTCCAGGCAGATGACTGGGTCATGGCAGAGAAGCTATGCTTCTCAGTGAATTCTGGCACTGATGTTTCCAGCTAGTTGTGCTGCCCAGAGGCAGGGCTGTTGGCACAGCTGGGTTGCAGGAGTGCCATGTCTGTGGAGGTACATCTCTCGCTGGCAACATTCTCCTGGGCTCTGCTTCCTGGGCACCATGAAGTGAGCAGCTTTGCTCCTCTGTGCCCATCCTCCATGATGATTCTACCTTGCAACCAGCTGACCATTGACTGAAATCTCTGAAACTGTGAGCCAAGTAAACCTCTCCTTCTTAAGCTGTGAATGACAGGTGTTTTGTACCAGCAATGGGAAAGCTGAACAGTACAAGCTCTTTGTGCCTATATATTATCATCGACACACAATCCTTGGCATATTTGCACTTAGGATCATTTCATTAAAATCTACAGATTTTAAGGTTTATGATTAATTACTTAATAAGAACTTACGTAGCCTACTACATATCAGGTCCTGTTCTAAATCTTAATGATAGAACAGTGGACCAGAACAAGACAACACAAATCCTTACTCACTAGGAGGATATAACCATGTGCAAGGTTGCTCAGATTTTCCTGTAAAGACAGTAAATATCTCAGGCTGGCTGGGCCATCTGGTCTCTGGTATAACCACTGTGTTCTGTTGTTTGACTAAGAAAGCAGAGACAACATATCCATCAATGAATGAGTGTGACACTGTTCAATAAAACTTTATTTACAAAAAGAAATGGCCAGTCAAATTGGACCTACAGTTTGCTGAGCCTTCTTTTGTGGCTTGTCGAGCCCTTTTCCTAGACTTTCTGGGAACACGACTGCCGTGATATTTTCCTTGGATGACCCTCTCACTAGTTTATTTCCCCACTACATCAGTTGCACTAAGGTGAAGTGTTTACTCAACTCCTCCCTGCTCGAGTTAGAGCAGCAGTGGCTGGACTTTGAGAGCTGCTCGGTGCCAGCAGATGTGGGGAGAAACATGCTGCTCCTCATTGGAAAAGCTGCTTACATTTCTAATCATGCTATGGTGGTCCAAACAACAGGGCTGGTGGTTTGTGACTTCTGAGAAGCGGATGATAAACGGGCCAGGCACACGAGGCATTTGTCAGGGGAGATGTGTGTGAGGGGTCAGTGGAAGAAGCTCAAGGAGGAAAGGAAGGGAGTTCGGTGGACTGCAGCCCAGGCCTCGGGCGGCCCTGAAGACCTGCAGCACGGTCGGCGGGGAGCCAGCCCTAGCCCAGGTCGCATCAGCAGAGCCCGGGAGCCCTGGAAGCTGAAACCGAGTAGCCTTGCAGGTGGCTCACTGCCTGGAGCGCCTCGGGGACCGTGGCCTCTGCTCCAGCATTGTGATGGATTTCCGAGCCCAGTTTGGCCACCGGTCAGTTACAGCGCACCACAGGGGGCTGGAGAGGTGATGTTCGTGGCTGTGAGGGACGCTCCAGAGGTGATTAGGCTCCTAGACAGGAAGGGGGGAGGTAGAGACACATGGCCCGACTCAAACTCAGGGGATCAAGGGCTGTTGCGGCATCTGTTACTGCAAACACGTTACATGAAGGAAGGACTCAGAGTAGCGGTTAGGCTTGGGCTAAATCCCACACTGAACCCTTGGTCACTGCAGAAGTTTTTGGAGGCTGGAGGGCACTTCCTGCAGTTAGTGCACCTGGCAGTGTGAGGGTCTTGGGCAGCGCTGCCCCGGGCACCCGGGCACCCGGGCTGGGTGGCGCTGCAGGCAGGGTCCCTGCCATCCTGGACTTCCTAGTATTATGCAGCTGGTATCTGTGAACTTGCTTAGAAGAGAGCTGGGCGCCGAGTCTCGAAGTGGATTTTAGTGCGGTCTGTCTGAGTGATAGTCACTCCCCAACTGAGTTCACCCGGGAAAGGGGAGGAACAGAATCCCCCAGGAGGGACACGCCTGACCCCTGATACTAATCTCTTCACGGTGCAGCTTGGAAAGGGGACGCTGAGGAGCAGAGACTCAAGCCCAAGCCACAGCAGAGAGGAGGGTGCGCATCTCCTGGCCAGGTGCGTATTCAGCGGGGCCTCAGACACAGTATCGCAGCAAACCTGCCTCTGCCTGCTTTGGTTAGGCTGCATGTGTAGAAGGGCAGAAGAGAACTAGAGAGAGGAGGTTCTGACCTTTGAGACATCGTCCTTTGAAAGCCGGGCTCTGAAAAGCCCTGCAAAGCTACCACCAAGAGTTCTCGAAATAACCGAGGTCCCAGAGTCAGTTTCAGGCACTGTGCTCACCAAGGAACCATGAACGAAACAGCAAAGTCACTCAGACTCTAACCCTTACCCCGACAGCTCGGAGGAGCGTGGACCTGCAAGCTCACTGTCCAGGAGCAGAGTGCACGGGCGGTGAGGAACGGCTCGGATCTGTGAGTGTGGCCCTGCCCGGGACAGGAGTGTCTTCGTGGTTGGGCCACACAGAATGTGTCATGCATGTGCCAGGCAGGTGGACGTAACATGACAGAGTTTGAAGCAGCACAGCTACAAATGGCACAGACAACTGCAGACATGACAAAGACAGAAAGGACACTCAACTTGAACTTCTTTGTTTTGTTTTGTGTGTGTGTGTGTGTGGTACCAGGGATGGAACTCCGGTCCTTGCGCTTGCGAGGCAGGCAGTGGAACCACTGAGCTAGGTCCCCGGCCCTAACTTGCACTTCTTAAGTGGGACATAGTTTGAACCACTGGCTTTCTTCTCCGTTTGCCTCTTGTGCTGGTTCTGATGGGTTCATGACTTTATTTCCCAGGTTTGGGTTATTTTTAAATTGTCCTTGCAGTACCCAACAGATTTTCACTGGCCTTCAATAATGCAATGTAGCTATTCTACATAGGGAGGGTAATTTGCTTTCTTTTATTTTCTGTACTGTTTTCCATAAGTTACATACCTCCTGGCTACAGTGATGCTGAATGAGCTGTTGTTGTTTAAAACCTCGGGTTGCATGCACCTTTAGGGTTTGGAAGATAAAATGCTACCACTGGGAACACTTCCTCACAATTCTAATTCCTAGGTGGGAAGATGATAAAAACAACCCAAGGTAATGGTGTTGGGAATGGAAGAAGTAAACAAAACTCTGTCATGTATGTCACTAAAGTTATAAGGCACATTTACAGAAGTTCAAACCCTAGTGTAGTGTAGTATAGGCCAGCACACTATTTCGTTTTCTGAACATATGAGAATGTTTTGTAGCAGATGGTAAGCATTCTGCTCCAACACAAATAAGAGCAAAATACAGTCACATTCCTTATTCCACAAGAAACCACCACACTTGCTCAGTGTGATGAGACATGATTAAACAAGTCTCATAATTTCGGTTACAATATGTAGTCTCTCCCTTCTCAGCCTTCCTACATTTGTCTGATGATAATGTGCACCGGAAATATTTTCTGAAGCCTATGTGATTTATTTCTCAAATGCAATCAACAATCAAGTTCGTTTTCAACTCTGTAATGATTGGTCTTTCTTTCTTCTTCTTTTTTTTGTTTGGTACCAGGGATCGAACTCAGGACCTTGCGCTTTCAAGTCAGGTGTGGTGCCACTGAGTTAAATCCCCAGCCCGTGATTGGTATTTCTAATCAAAGCGGATAGGAAAAAAAGAAATGAACAGTGTAGTTTTGAGTCTTTAATTCTATTTATTACTTGTAACAGTGTAGAAATCATTCAAACTTCCTGACCTACCTACTCTAAGTGAGTTTTATGCATATCCTTTGTACGTGGGAAAGTGTAAGTTTCTATCAGATGCCCCAGCTATAAATGTTACCATTGTTATTTCTCTATATATACTGATGTGTGATCTGTGATGCCACTAATACAAATGAAATGAAATAAAATAGATATAAATTGCACCTTGCTTCTGCATTTAAGTATTTTAGCTTGTCGCAGAAGTTAACCACATTGACACAACATCAGCCCAAGTTGCAGAGCATTAGCTGGAATAATCATTTCTGTGGCCAAAGGGCATGAAGAGGCCACCTTCCAGGCATCAAAAGTGCTGTCAACTGAAGGGTGGGTTTGTACACTGACAGTTAAAGGGAATCCTGAGTGTTCACTGACATGAATCCAAGAAGTATCTCGCTGTGCCTGGAAAGGGGTAGGCAAGCTAACACACATTTCCCATCAGTCCATGGGGGCGGCTCTTAGCTCACAGCCTCTGCAGGGGCAGAAGCTAGAGCAGTGCAGAGACACGGGAACACAGCTCCGAAAGGCGTATCCGGGCACGGATGCGGCCCTGAGGGCTATTTTATTTGACACAAGGCCACATCACAGGTGGTAGCTGTGTTTGTTTGAATTTAGACGCAGATCAGGTCCTTGAGCAGGCCTGTTTGTGCCAAGTGCACCAACCCTCACTAAGCCCAAAGCAGCAAGCGGGGCATGTCGGGAGCTCCACAGAAATTCCTGTGCTTCCCATTCTCCACACTGACCCGTACTCTGTGCCTACGAAGGAGGCTACAGGAGGAAACAGAAAGCCAGCTCAGGGTGCAGGCTGGCCCGGCCCTACCTGAGTCTCCACATCTGTCAGCTTCCGGGTCTGCTCTGCGGTCTGCGTCAGGAGGCTGGTCCCGATCTCCAGCATGGTGGCTGTGTGGTTCTGAACTGCATTCTGTTGTATCTGGGCCATCTCCAACTTCATATTTTCCACAATGTAATTCTCAAGCTGCAAGAGATAAAGCACAAGCCCGCTAAGTTATAAGCAAAGCCTCGGGTCGGGTCATGTAATATTTACAATGACAAAACTACACAGGCACAAGCCAGCCATCTGGTGGGGGCCCCTGTGTCTCAGGGAGATTCGGAGCTGGGAGCAGAGCACACAGCAATCTGGCTGCTAGAAAGCCGCTCTACTGACACATGCAGACAGCAATCCTAGCCAGCGTGGACATGCACTGGATGGCCCATTCTGACACTGACATCAGCTCTCTAACCTGCGATTCCCTGGGTCAGACTCATTGCTCCTTTAATTCTACAGCTGAGGAAGGAGAATGGGAAAGGGTCAGTGATGAACTCAGGGTCACCGTTAGAATGCAGCCATTAGCAAAGAAGCCTGGTCTAAGTCTTAGTTCTCTGGTCTTTTCATGATGCCGTGCTGACCACCAATCTCAGCAAAGTCTCGCCTCCTGCTTGCATTTCCATCACGATCAACCAAAGACCAGGCTGCACGAGAGATGCATGTGACAGGAACGAGGGTAGGTGCCAGAGGAAGCCTTCAGCAAATTTAGGGCAAATTAAAATGCAGGCAGCGATGACACGTGTTGTGGAGCCCGAGTACCAGCTGCACCTGATCCCTGAGCTCCTTTGCAAGTTCAGAACAGGTCCTGAGAGTTCAGCCTACAAGCAGCATTTGCACTTCCTGCCTTGGGTGCAATTTGTTCCTTTGTGGTGCACTGTAGTGAACACCACGGTTGCAAAGCAAATGGTAACTGAGGGCCAGCAGGATGCACTGGGCCTGGAGGGGCCGCTGGGCACGGGGCAGAGGGGCAGGGCCTGAGCACTGCTTGGAGCAGAAGCAGCCTGAGCCCTGCTCACACCCTCAATTCCCTGCCCCTTGCAGCGACTGCGTTTTGTTGCCAATGACACACACAGGAATGGCGTCCCAGAGAAGCCAGGTCCAGGCCACACACCGCAGGCACAGCCAGCCTCAGACCCGTGAGTCTGCACCTCTCACACAGCACTTTCACCACTCAACGGTGCTGCCAAGTGGAGCTCAGCAAGCCCGTTCCAAATCATTAACAGCTCCGTGAGTCTCACAGACGTGGTGAGCCCTAAGGCACCACCATGTCATCACCCACAGCAACATTATCATCATGCAGTAAATACCGTCTCGATGTCAATTCCCCTCCGTGAGACTCTGGCAGCTCACTTTCTAACATCATCCCTTGCTTATTTCTAGTAATCATACAAGAGTCTGACCCAAACTAATAAAAAGGAAAGCTTAAAATAAAACTCCTGTTATGAATAAATTCTGAACTCATTCTCGGTCATCCTCTATTCTCAAATCAGAAGTGCACAGGAAGGGAGAGAAATTCAACCTGTTAAAGTTTATCAGAGAAATGCAAAATGGATCGGCATAAATGTCTGAGAATTACTGCAATAAAATAAAAGGTCACTGGCCCAAGGTCTGGCTGTATTCCAATCGCACCAACAATTGAACAACAAGGGAAGAGCAGAGGGTAAGAGAGTGGTCTGAGCAGTAATCATCTGGCATTTTGGACTCCACATCACATGTTTTCCTTTCCCTAGTCACTTCCCCAGCTCCCTTCGGGAAGCTGTCTTCCCTCCTTTCAGAATAAATGCTTTGGTAGTGTGGACCCTCCCAGATTCAAGAGGGGGTTCATGTGTGAGCCTGGAAAACCAGAAGGATTTGCTTGTGCTTAGCAGCATGAGTTGGTCATGAGGGTACACACATTGGCAGCAAGGCCATTAAAACTCAGTTCCAGAATTGTGGCAAATGCGAACAACTTCTTCCTCTGTGCTTAATAAACTGGTAACATAGTTGGCTGATGCCACTGGTTCCCAATTTTGCCAACCAAAAACCAGAGCCAGCCTAAGAATGAAGTCGGTTCAGAGGAAATGAGAGACAGCAAGATGAATAGGTGGATTGAGTGAGCAGAAGGCTGTGTGCTCAGCACCTGGCTCCAGCCATGCATTCAGTCGGATCCACCTTGGGCAGCTGCAAGTTGCATGATCTAATAATCTCCCCCAACAGCTAGGGCATTTCTTTTACTTTCAGTCACACTGATGCATGTTTTTAACAAAACGCCAAGAATTCTGACTGCTACATTTGATAAATGTTGAACTAAGGAAGCCCGAGTCAGCCAAACACCAGCCGACATTCCTTGCTCGTCCTGGGAATTCGAGCTCCTTGTGAGAGTGTGTGTTTCCCCTGTGAAGATGTCTCCTGCCATGCACAGCTGGCACTGTCCACTGCCTGGTACCCAGCAGTCACTGAGTCAAGTGTTTCCCCTTCATAAAGGAAAAACCTAGACACCAGCACAAGTCACCGCAGCTTTATAGATGAGACACATGAGGCTTTGGAACTGCCAAACAAGCTGCCGGAGAGCTCCACCCCGACTTCAGCAGGCACCTTCTCAACCACCCACCCTTTCAGGCTTGCTCCTCCCAGTTCCTCTACCTTTCATCCTGTGGCTCCCAAGCTTTCACTGTTCCTCAGAACTACAAGGAAGAGCCTGGAAATGAGAGGAAGGACAGCATACAGAGGTTTTCCAGGTGAATACTGGACACTGTGTACTTTTCAAAGCTTCCAATGGGATCCAAGCAAGGACCCGGAGCTTCCCGAAGTGTGGTCCAGGGCACACCACCACATGTGAGCTGGGAACAGTCATGGGCAGGGTGACGTGTGTCACTCGGAGCAGGCTTAGCTCACCTGCCGGCGGTACAAGAACAAGATCCCAAGGCACAGTGATGCTCCGATTTACAATCCGGCACAACTTTATTGCCCTGTTCACACATTAAAAATTTCCTTGAGTGACAGTGACTTGGGCTTGACTCAGAACTGTCGATTTCCTTGTTGATCAAGATATTTCAAAAAATGGAACCAAATCTTTGTAAACATGGAGGGATGGAGGGGTTGAAAAGAGGGCAGGGGAATGAGGAAAAATAAGAACCAAGAGAGACGATGTCAAGGTGCAAATTTCCAATGATGAATGTCATTATATTGTACACCTAAAACGTACCAATGATTAGAATGAATAATCGATAATGTGAAATAGGAAGAAAAGGTCCAAAGGGGTAGGGGAAAGGAAAGAAGGGAAAGAAAAAAAAAAAGAAATTTCAAAGAATGATTTGATTTCGGGCCGGGGATTTAGCTCAGTGGTTTTGCAGCCTGCTGCACAAGTGCAAGGACCCAAGTTTGATCCCCAGTACCATAAAAACAAAAAAATAAAAACAAAAACAAAAAGAATGATTTGATTTCCTGTGCAGATGCACCACCCAGGACCAGGACAGGGTCTGCTTGATAATCACACATAGACCTCTTCTGTGGAGTCAGTTCCCAGCGCCTGAGCCACTCTGGGTATAGGAAGGACACAGGCCCCCGGCTGCATGGACGCACAACTGACTTCATGGGAGCCAGCTCTGGAGTATGCTCTGCTTACTCCTCTGAGAACAGCAGCGCTGTCCGAGTGCTCTGCTCCTCCACAGCTGCCCAGTTAACCAGGGGGAGATGGGAGCCTGTGGCCAGCGGGTGGGGAGCAGGAGATCACTGAAAACACGAGGGATCTTTCCTACTGGTACAAATTAGCTTTGTTCTACTCATTCTTTTTTCTTACAAGCCATTGTAAAATACAACAAAGCAGAGGACAGGAATGCACTAATCCTCTCCTGAGGCTAGGTGTGTATGAAGTTTGTTGAATCTTATTATTTTCCTCATTTTACTAAAAGGAAAACAGAGGCTCAGGGAAATTAGGCAAGTTGTCTAAGATCATTCAAGAGTTGGTGGCCAAGCTGGTTCATTGCTTCTTCATGTTGGCCCCGAGATCACAGACAAATTCTGAGAGCATACAACACTCACATGGGGAATATGTAAATCAAACACTATGGAAACAGTGCGTGAAAAGTGTTCAAAAATGGATAGGTTTTCAAATCTGTAATTTAAAACTTTGAATCCTGATTCATGGCTGTGATGTCCTGGCCAATGTTGTAGGCGGCTGGAAAGCAAAGTCCAGTCCACCCCATGGCACATGGTATTACCAAATAGACAAAGAGAACCTGTCCTTAAGGAGCAAGCGATCACTGTCCAGCATTCACTGCCATCCCTCATAGTCTCTGCCTCTGTCTTCCCTGTGATTCGGGAGCATGAGCCCTGCCCCTCCCCATCAGGACAGAGCACGGGGACCCTGACTGCACCCTGTGCCCATGGCCTGGGCCCGAGCAGCCCTGGGTGAGCTCCAACATCCCTCGTGCTTTTGTTTTCCTGCAAGACAGCACTCCAACAGCTCTCTTACAGCAGAGCAAATCTTAAAGCACAAAGAATATAATTTCTCCATGTAATTCTTAAGAAAATAGCATTTTAAACCCTATAAAAATTGACAAAGGCATCCTTGGCTTTAAATATGTTGTAGATTAAGGGGACCCTCGCTGGATATTGATGCATATGGTATTACTCAGTTATGGCAGAATAACCATGAAGTAAAATAAAATGTTAAATATGGGAAAGCAATAAAAAGGTAAAATAATGCAAAAAATGCCTTCAACATTGATGGTTTTATCTAATATCGTTTCATAAATCAGTGGCAATACTGAAAATGCAACTATATCCAGGTTTATGACCTTATAAACAGAGCCGGCTGAGGCCAAGCACGCTCTCTGCAGGCATTTCTATTATTAGAGCTCTTTTATCAAAGTGGAAAGTTTAATTGTCCTCACAGATGATGGATCTAGGTAGTTAATATCTGCAGCAGTTTCTGTGCTGACCTCCAGGACAGGGACCTATTTTTCATTTTGGTATCTGAAGCAGTGGTGCAGGAAAGCTGAGAGAGACAGTAAATATTAGAGCTCCAGGACTCCCATTTTATGGCCACAACCTCTTCGGCTCAGAGCAGTTGTAGGATGCAAGGTGAGGCCACTAACCGATGTCAGCTGCCAGGACGTGGCCAGTTGTGTGGGAAACAGACGGCATCAGCCCTTCCCACCCGGCTCTCC